TGGATTTGGTAAATCTTGGATTGGATTTGGTTTTAGATTGGCCAAGGTTGGACAGGCCACATTCTTTCCTCTAACGCACCTTTACTGAGGCATAGTATTGAGCAAAATCAGCCAACATGGTGCATTGGAAAGGGTCTTGGATCTGGGCTCAAATCCTTGCTTATCCATGAAAGCAAGCTAAGGCCATCCTATGCACACTTGCCTGGGAGTAAATCCCACTGAATGAATGGATCTTTCTTCTGTGTAAGCAAGCATAGGATTGTGCTGTAAGTCTTAAACGACTCACTTCCTTTCACCGAATGTAGCTCACCTTACAGTGTGATTATGCAGAAAAGATGTGTAATCTTATGAGGAATTTAGGGCCAAAGACATTCTATTAAATGCTTGTGGGTGATTTCCTTGCCACCGTTATCCATGTGCTGCTAACCTCCCGCTTGGATTACTGCAATGGGATCTACGCAGGGCTGCCTTTGAAGATGGTCTGGACACTGCCAGGTGTTCAAAACCGGGCAGTGCATCTGCTGACAAGTACTGGCATTCGTGAGCACATTACTCAGCTCCTATGTAGGTTACGGTGGCTGCTGGTGGTTGCCGTCTGGGACCAATTCAAAACGCTCACAGTAACATACAAAGCCCTATCTGAGGGACTGCCTTTCTCCATATATACCATCCCAGTCATTGTGGTCAACATCCTTGGCTGCCTCTGCACCCCTCCTCTGAATAATGTGAAGATGGAAATGGCACTGCGGAGGGTCTTCTCTATTACTGCACCTAATTATGGAATTCTAACCCAACTGATATTGACATTATATTCTTTTAGATGTTAGCTGAAGACATTTTTGTTTTGCAGGCACTTTGGAAGGTGAATCTGTTGGGCTTTTTTTTTTTTTTTAAATGGATTGTTTTCAGGTTAACTAATTGCTGCTACCATTTTACAATTTTATGTTCTAAAGATTTTCAATTTTGTGGATTGCTTATAATTATTTTCATATTACTGCTGGTTAATTTGCTTTATGCTGCATCTCCTACTCAATTTATTTATTTATCAATTTATTTATTTATCTTACTTATTATTATGAATTAGTTATTGGTTGATTATTATTGGTTTTATTGTTATTATTAGTTTTATTGTACTTGTTGATTTTATTGTACTGCATTGTGGCACGGATTTTATGTAAGCCACCTAGAGAGCCTAGGGCACTGCTGACGAACCTTTAAAGACCAAGTGCCCAAACTGCAACCCAAAACTCACTTATTTATTGCAAAGTGCCAACACTGCAATAAAACCTGAATACTGAGGTTTTAGTTTAGAAAAAACAACTCACAGCCAGTCCAAGCAAATATATATAAATCCTTGGCAGTGCACTGACTGGCCACGAGAAAGCTTGGATGAGTTGCGGCTAATGAGTCACGCCTTGTGACATCATCGCCTGGCGCCGCTACTCCTTTCCGAGCATGCGCATGGCCCCTGTGCACTGTTATCCGATGCTCAGCAGCTAGGGCGATGCTGGGGCAACTTGGCTCGTGTGCTGACAGAGAGCGCTCTGCGTGCCCGCTGTGTCACGCATGCCATAGGTTCAACATCACTGGCCTAGGGCTAACTGGGCAGAATATCAATTAATCCAACAAATAAATAAGATCCTCCTGATGGAAACTGCAACTTCAGAGAAGAGCTTTTTCTGCCGTGTGCACAGCAGAAGTTAAGCTCTTTCCCCCTGTCTTTTGCAATCCTGATAATTAACACCCACATTATGCATTAAATGTCACATTTAAGAAGCATTAAATGTCACATTTGGCTTAACTTCCTTGATCTCCTTGGATATAAATACTTGTAATAAATAAATTGATTATCAGGTTTTAATAATTGAGACTATACGATGGGGGTGTTGAACCTTTTGACTCAAGGACCAAATTCAATTTCAGAAATGTTCTTGGTGGAACACAATACCAAAAATATCAGCATATTTTAGTTTAAAGTTTTAGTTTATAGCAATAGTATAAATCTATTGCTGGCAGTAACCAATTCTTAGGAGAGATATTTCAACCTTTTAGAAAGGGGGATAAATGCAAAAAAGCTGGGAAACTGCCAAACAATCAGCAAGAAGGGGAAGAGGTTCAGCCCAAGGATGGGTGAGTCCAAGGACAAGCATGGCTATCAGGGGAACCTGGGATTGGGCCCCAGACCTGAGATCTGCCCCTCTGCTATTCACGGTGTACACCAGTGCACAGGATCGATTAATATTCATCAATTTTTTACCATCAAGATACAGTTTTCAGAAATAGAAGGGTATAACTGAGAACACAAGTCTAAGCAGGCTGCCGCTTCAGCACACAAGGACTACTGCATGCAATTCCTAACAAGTGAAGATCTGAGAAGCCCGAAGGGGACTGTCAATAAGTTAGGTTGGTTCAGCCTACATAAGCCTAAACAACTATGATCTAATATGCAACAAATTTTTTCCAGCTTGCCTAAAATGTATCAGGATAGAAGTTCGTAGGGAAGAACTATGTGATAAGCTTCCCAGAAAGCATTACCATCTTGCTTTATGCTACAATTTAGTTAAATAGAAGGGGAAGTTAAACTGATCTCCAAGTAGATAATAGCTTTTAAGGGATAGATTGATAGATTGTCATTGGTGCTTTTAAATTGCACCAAAAGCCTGAGGAACTGGTTGGTTTTCATCTCTCTTTCACAGACCTTTCTTAATCTGACCAACCTCTGAGATACTTATTCCTTCCCCTCACCTCCACCCTCAAAAAATTAATATATCTTGTATTAGTTGTTTTGGGGAAAGAAACAGAGTGGGATATGGAAAGTCCATCAAAAGTGTTTGGTAGTCAGCCATTTTTTCCACAAGATTAATAAGGAAGAGATGCATGTCTGAAGCCTTTTACATCTAAATAATTTTCATCCATTTCTCTTGCAGTTTAAAGGTGGTTCTAACCATCCAAACAAAAAGGGCTGCCTGAGGACATAGAAAGCCACATAGCAGAGACCAGAATATGAAAAGCCCAAATACTGGGGTAAAATTCAGTGGCCTAATCCAAAGGAGCCTGGTGTGGGACCCATTGGGTGAATGACACTGCGATCTTATACACTTACCTGGAATAAGTTCTAATTAGTTGAGATTTACTTTAGTGTAGACATGCATAAGAATGTATTGTGAATGAACACTGCTAAGGCAGCATAGTAAGTTATAGGTAATTAAAAACAAGTTGGATCAGAGCCAGATTTAGCTATGTTTCAAGTGAACCATTTGAAATTAATGGAATGCTAGTTATTCATGATTAAATTAAATCCCATTTCAACAGGTCTATTTAAGTATGACTAAAGCTAAATCAGACTTGTTGCTTTCAGACAATTGTTTTACCGATTCATGTTCTGCTTGAGATTAATGAGTGCTACACAAAGGAGATCAAAATGACCTTTGGAAACCATGGTGGTATTTGCATTCCAGCTACCAATTTTAAAAACCTTACAGAAAAATTCTCACAGCAGAAAGGATTATCAATATGATAAAAAAGAATCCTCTAGCCTTATTATTCTATTCATGAACTATCCCTCATTTATTTAATAAAGGCAATCCTAATTTGCCAAAAGATGAAAGCAAGATCATATTAGATCCTCTTTAGCTATTACTGGAAACATGAAATACTATGGGGAATGATCCCTCAGGCTTATGGGGAGCTCTGGACAAGAATGGAATTAACAGAAGAAATTAAGTGGAAGTCCCAAAAAGAAAACAAGACCACTTGAATCAAATTATTGCTTGAAAAATTAGGAAATGTCCTCTGGTTACATCTCTGGACACTTTAATTAGGGAAGTGAAATTTGGTTTTCACTTTGTAAATGAACATTCCTGCAAATACCATTAAATAGAACTACCATTTATACAGGGTTGTTTGTTGTTGTTTCAGTAACATAGTCACACAGATCTAAAGGTAGGCAGGTGGTGCAGTGGTTTAAACTGCTGTGCTGCTGGGCTGGTTGATCAAAAGGTCGCCGGTTCGAATCTGCACAACGGGGTGAGTTCCCGTTGCTCCATCCCAGCTCCTGCCAACCTTGCAGTTCAAAAGCATGCAAATGCAAGTAGATAAAAAGGTACCACTTCGGTGGGCAGGTACAGGGTTGTTTGTTGTTGCTTCAGTAACATAGTCACATAGATCTACATCATTTTTATTTTCATTTAGCTGTCTCCAAGTTCTGATCAACTCATCCAAGAAGAGTCAGGGTATTTTGATACATTTTGTCCTCTAAATCAAGTTAAAAATAAAAGACAAATATAATCTACAACTAGTAGAGTGCAGACTGCTCTGCTCAAGAGCATACTAATGAAACAACTGAAATAGACAAGTGAAAAATAGTGACTATTCAAGGAAACAGAATGATGGTCTACTAATTAAGTACACAATTCTGTGCAGTTTTTGACAACAAAAATTCCTACAATTCCCAGTATACTTACTGGATGATTTTAAAAACTGTAGGACTTTACACTGTCAAATATGTCTAGGATTGCACCCATAAAGGCAACAAAAGTGAGGCGCAAACTATAGGTTATAGGGAGATGTCGTCTCTTTCACACCAATCTGTTATTTGGTGGGTGGAGCAGAAAGGAACACGGTGTGACATTACTGCAGAATATTCCTGTTCCCCAAAGTGGCAGCCAGTGAAGCAGAATAAGCAGCAAGAAAAATGCTAACACATCACCAACTCATGTTTCACAACCGCATGCAACTTGCCAACATAGTTTGACAGCATTCACACATCTGCTATTAACATCTGGTTGGTCCCAAGTTGTTAAGAGTCCTTGAAAATACACCTGGGTTCTTCAAGGTCCAGTATAAGCCATTAACAAGACCATGATGACCGACTGCTTCATTTCAGAAAACAGATGTTCACAAAGCTTGGTCATCGCAGTACTAAGTGCTGGTGCAGAAAGATGCATGTTGGTTACCAGGAAGAGAGCCAAACCCAAGAGAAAGAACCAAAGACAACTCACCATCTGATTCAGAAGCTGCCCTGAAGATCAAGTAGCTGCTTGGAAGAGGCTGTGTAATTGAACCCACGTTCTCTCCCTTTGGACCCTGAAATGATTTGTGAAATGAAAAGCATTGTAATTTCTGTGGCTTGCTCAGTTTTATCTTTCTTGCCTTTCTCAACCGTATGCTTTCAGTATCAAACAAAGCAAAATTATAACATACAAAAAGATAACTACCTGTACTTTATTAGATACACAAAAGTTTAATATAATTTATCTGTTTTTATATTAATGCATCATTAAAAGACGAATAATGAAATCTTGGAAAGCTTGGGTGTTACCATCTTCTGTTTAAAGATGAATAACATATTTCAGAGGGTGCAATCCTATGTCCCCCAACATCCCATTATTTGGAGTTCTATCTCCAAAATCCTGCAGAAAAGGGCATGGGGGAGGGGGGGGGAAGAGAGAAGGGAGGAGGCTGAGGCCAAGGGCCCATACCATCTCCTGTTAGCAGCCCAGCCACTTTCCTGCCCTCTTCCAGGTGCTTTATGAAGATGGTTGAAAACACTTATCTTGATAATTTGCAGAGCACAAAATGCCAGGGCAGGGATTGTCACTGCTGCATCTCACTCTTGCCAATGGATGTTCAAAAGCCTCTGATTTCAGAGGCTTACATGCAAGCAACATTAGGGTGATTGGATTGCACCCACAGTATGTTGATTTTGATCCAAGATGGAAGCAGTCATGTCTAAATCACTAGGCAAGACCATATTGAGAGAAGACTCAAAAAATGAGATGGTTTTAGGGGGAAAACCCCCAAAACACAGTGCCAAAGGTGTTTTGCACAACACAGCACCTTCATATGCAATGGCTTCATCTGTTTTATCCTTTTTATTGTTCATCACTTGAGAATCTGTCTAGGTATGGAACAACATATAAATGATGTAAAAATATAGTGTCACTTATTTTTTTCCAAACAGAAGTTCAATCCAGTCAGCATGTGAATATATACAGGAATTAATACGGATTGAATGTTGCAAATAGCAGTTTCTCTTTACAACCTAGTAATAGGCCCCAGAGGTTCAGCAGAAGACATTGGCAAGGTTTCTTGGACGTTCTATGAGCCATGCTACCTATGCCACCCTTGACTCCTGTATTTATTGTAAAAACATGGACTCATCCTTGCTCATCTTAACATTAGCGTCCTACAAGCCATTTATGCCAAGCTGTTCTCAGCTTCAGCCTATTAAAAGACCCAGTTTTGCAAGTGGAACAGAAAGCAGCAGGGTGTTTCCAGAGAAGGGGACTGATCCAGGTTTAAGCTAGATCAACTGATGGATGCGGTCTCCTTTCAGCTGATCCAATCATTTGTGTCTTCTCACCTTCCTTGCCTTTCCTTTCCCAAAGCAGCTCCCCACTAAAAGTGTTGCATGGAGAATCAGGTGACCCTGCTGATTGGGCTGAGCTGTGGTGTGGTTGGGAAAGGGTGCCCCAAAAATCCTAGTAGAGAGACCTTCGGTGAGAAGAGTCTGTCCTCTTGTATAAGGTTCCTTTCACTCGTGGAAGGCGCAGCCTGGATCCAGCCCCTCGAGTTTTATTCTGCTACAGCCTCGTTCATGGGATTTTACAGGAGGTTCAGATATTGTCTCCACTCATAACTCTCCCATGTTTCCCCAGCACTTATCTTTTTAAAACCACACAAACCACAGGCACCTACTCCTGTTGGACTAGTGGCTGGCATATAAATTTACAGTAAATGTACAATGAAAAATACCATAAAATACCATCCAGAATGAAAAAAGACAGAACAGGTGCATGGTGCCTTCTGCTTTAGCACGAGGAGTTCTCCTGGTGGTGGAAGCACCCACAGCCTCATTCAGTGCTCTCTTATGAGTGGAAGATCCCTCTCCTGCACTTGCACTGCAGTTGCCAACATCCAGGAGTGACCTTTCAGAGCCACAGTGGGGAGAAAGGCTTCGGAAAGCCCCAGTGGATTAGCCAGGCCCTGACCTCCAATTCCCACTCCACCCACTTTGGATGTCACACACCCTAATTCACCCCATCAAGATGTTTCTTTTGTGTGCATTCATATTTCAGAGCTGCTTTCTTCCAAAATGATCTGCAAAATTACAAAGGGGGATAACTCAGTGGATTTTATCCTGACCTACTTAGGGGAAGGATAGGACAAAGGTTGGCAGGCTGTTTTCTCTATAGCTTTCTGAAGAGTGCCTGCATCAGTTGAGCTCCCTGCTAAAGTTAAAGAGTAGAGTCCTGCAAGGAACTCTGAAGGAGGCATAAACTGAAAGTCTGTGGTGCAGTATAACTGGCCAAGGAGTGATGAATGCTTCACTGTACGATGACAGCTACAGCAGCTTTCTACTGAAACTCCAAGGTCTTCTCACTTGAGGAATTCATTTCTGTGAAATACTGCCAGAGCATTCTGCATCAAAGCTGTTATTCTGAAGGCAAGCAGGGCTTGTATAACCATTAATATTCCAGACGTTGAGAAGGATCCATATAGCTTTTCTCTCAACTTAGCCTCTTTTCATCAATGCTGCTGCATTAGCTGTCGCTAGACAACAGATGGTGTGAATGGACATCTGGAAGCTGTTGTGATGTCCCTTTAGGATCCGGCACTTTCTCATCTTTCTAAAACTTCACTAGCAGATGGCCTGGAAAACTGCAGAGAAGGTGGGCATGGGACTGGCAGGTTTGTTGTGGTGGGATCCACACAGCCTTCCCAAACAGCAGAGAGAATAGTCTTGAAAGATGGTGGCTACAGGGAATAACAACAGCTCTGGTAACGAAGGAGCTTAATTTGCCCTTTTTAAAATCTGCATGAAACATTGCTCTTGGCCTTACTTTCATGTGCCTATCTATGTTAGATGCTAAACATTTTTTGTCCATAAGCAGTTCCAGTTACAAGCCCTTATCCAAAGGTAGTCTAGATGCCTCCCTCTCTCTTTGTCTCTCTCTGTGTGCGTATGTATATATATAAAGCATGCTGCCCTAAGTACATGCCAACTCTTCTTTTAGAAATAAATACAATGAGCTCAAGTTTTTTCAGGCAAAAGGAGTTGTCCTGACCCCTTAGCTTGTGCACAAAGGATAAGACGCCCATTAGCGCCTTGTGTTCATCAACGGCTTGGGCAAGAGAACAGGTTTCCCCGTTTCCAGGTCTGTTTTCAGTGCCTTGTTTCACCCTTAGGATGGCTGAGTCATTGTATGAAAGAAAGACGTATTTATTATTCCCCCACAAGATGGAAGACACGGCTGGCCTAGGCTGTAAACTCTGCCTATATTCCAACTGGAACAAGCAGAGCCATCTCCATGGTAGCATTTATATTCCCAGATATATCTCCATTTACAAGGTTTGAAAGGATGTTTTTGCCCATAGAGGCCTGGGGAGAAAAGCTGGGCAGGACCTTCTTCCTTTCTGCAGGCTCTGCTTCAACTTGGTGCAGTGATAAGACTGGTGGAGTGGGGCTCTGGGGCTCTGGGGTCTAGTCCCCTCTCAGTCATGAAGTTCACCGTATCACTTTGGGCCATCATTTTAATTGTTAAAATATATGATCTGGCCAGGGCAACTTCTTCTTCCTTCTCTTTTCTCCTCCTATATTCTTTATTTACTTATTTTATACTGTTAATTTTAATTTTATATTATTGTATCTCAGTGTATTTTTTGTATTTAGTGGTAATTTATTATGTTCTATTTTATTTCAATGTATCTTATTGTGTTGTAAGCTGCCCCGAGGCTTTGGCAAGGGGTGGCATAGAAATGTTATAATAATAATAATAATAATAATAATAATAATAATAATAATAATAATAATACCTTCCTCATGAGGTTGTTGTTGTAAAGATAAAATGGAGAGCTGGAGAACCTTGCAAGCCACCTTGGGTTCCTCACAAGAGGAATAAAAACAGGATACAAATGCAATGTAATATTAATACTCCTTCAATAATAATATTGAAGATAATAACTTCAATATCCTATTAAACTCCTACATCTAAAAACTACATCTGAGGCAACATTTGTTTCACTCCTAAGTCTTATTTTCAATCGTGGATTCCTTGCCTTTTTAAAAAAACATGGCATCATAGACCCACCTATGGCCATTACTTGCAAGGTGAGCTTAACTTTCCCTTCCTTGCTGACCTATTTTATTTTGACCATAAAGCTGCCAGTGCTTTGCCTGTTTAGTGTAACTCTGGAAATAGTTGATGTTCTTATAGCTCCTCATGAGACAGTCCTGCACACTCTCATTTCAGTTTAAAATGAGGCAATATTTGGCATGTGTTCTATGATTATATGCATGCTATGGTATCGTGTGTTCATAGTCCAGTTAACTAGCTTCTGGTCTAGAAGCTAATCAAGGTGTTTTAAATTCGTCATTTTTAGGAACCCACTGTTTTTGACTTACATGAACCAATGCCCCATTTATCCAATGCATTTAACCTCCTACATAGGCTAGTCCTTAAAACCAGTAGTACTACTACTAGTAGTAATACTAGTAATAGTAACAGACTTTATTAAGAAAACAGTAAGAGAGGATTAGCTCCGAGACTGCCAAACAATGAAACCTGAAACTTGGCATGCATTCTTAGGGAACCCTAGGGGTGTGCACTCAGACTTACTGAAGTAATTAAATCAAATTAAATTAAATTGTGTTTCTGTGTTTGAGCCTTGCAGTAATCTCTTCAGCCATCAGGTAGCAGACATCTCTAACCAGCGCATAGCTTTGCTGGCCAGACAGCTGGAAGCTCAAAGAAGTTATCAAAGGGGCACAAGCACACTGTTGTCTCCCCTTCTGCTGCAGGGCAGGCACTGCCCTTGGGGTGCAACACGACAGGGGCCTTGCTGTGGGGTACTAGCAGGCCAGGCTTTGCTCAGGTGCCTATGTCCAGCCCTGGCAGCTACTGTATGTATGCCTCCCTGCAACCTGTGCTGTCCCACAGAAAGGGCCAGTCCCACTCAGGGGTAGCCAGACCCCTTTACTAGTGAGAAATATGAATGACATCTAGGCATCTATGTTGCACTTCAGAGAGCTTGCCTGTTTTAATTCAGCAGTCCTTAATGCCCATTTGGCAAGGTGTTTTACT